CACAGTCAGCTAGTCAAAGATTGTCTACGGTTGATGTTTTCCTGGTACAGAGGCCGCATTCTGCTTACTGCATCCTGGCAGACCACAGGCCACTGATCAAAGCTAACTTTGTACGTGTACTTGTTACGGCTGTGATCATGCCTGATCTAACCGGTCATGATAATGTCACGGACGGTACCGCTCCATGCGTGACGATTGGCGGCCGCTGATCTGGAGAGCTCTACCCAGTCTCTCCTCCAGCGCCGGAGACTTAATACTGAAGGTCCAAGAACCACCTCCATGTCCTGTCAGACTGAGTCGAGCCAGTCCGTCAAGACATGAAAGTGTGCTTTTCGTTTGTGCAAGTAAACGTTGATTGCGATCCAACGGCTTCTGGCCACTTTGCTCCGGATGGTCCGTTAGTACATCTGTAAGAGAAAGCCATGGAGCATTGTAGGGGTCCCCACGTTACAAAACTCCCCTTTTCCGAAACCACTCTAGTGCTGCTTCCTAGAGCTTTTATCAAGACTGAGTCAGTGGCTGTTAGGGATTTGTGTCCTGTGATACCAAACCACCGGCATTTAGATGCAGGAACTCTAGTTCCCCTAGTGGATGTACGTCGGTGACACGGTTTTATCCTGAGCACTGCATTAGTCTGCCTTCGACATGTTCCCTATTTTTATGTCATTTCACAGAAGACAGCATTTAAATTTCATTAAATCCGTATGGTGGCTTTGGTCTCGGTGGCGTGCGTAACAGAATCTAAATAGTAACTTAGAGTAAGTTTCCGGTCGAGGCTATTATCAGGAGAGGCATGGAGTAGCAGTAGACAGACCTTTATGTTTGGTCATATTACTGTTAACTTCGGAAAATAAAAAAAATCTTCAAATTCCCTTTCTTTGCAAGTGCTTTTTTATGTACAATTCTCATCAAACATGGCCGGTGCTGTTGCTTTTTGTTGTTATTAGACTGGTCTTGTTCTTGGGATGTCCAATGAAGACTAGAACCCCCTACATCCTCAGTGAACAGATCGGAAGCATGGTTTTGGCCATTGTCGGGGACAAAGAGCCAATACAAGAACACCCATAATGGTAGGGAGCAGCCGAACATGAAAAACAACCAATTTTAAGTGTGACAGGGTTAAGACCTATCTGAGCATACCCAACAAGGGGAAGAATTAGAAGGTTCGCGATCCGGGTATTTGCATAAACGAGGAAGAAGACGTATCGAGCACCAGATCAATTGATTTATTGTTCTGAG